GGTAATTATGCTAATCTCCTCTCGCGTGCACGAGCAGCTGGATAGAACAGGTGTAATTTACGCAGCTCATTTACGCACTTTTCATGAAGATAGAAGAGTTTGTTGAATCGGACGTGGCATGTTCGTACGAACCCTTCGTAAGAACAAAAGTAAGAGAAATTTAGGATGAGTACGAACATGTTCTTGCATGAGGCCCAGTGAACCTACCTGATCTTTAGTCTGTCGTTTTCTGCATAAAGTCGCAGCGACTGCTCTCTTTCTTGGAAAAGGCAGACCTGCATGTCGCTCAGGGCGTTTTGGAGTTCTGCAATCTCTCCTTCGCGCTGTCGTATGTCCCACTGTAGTTTGTGCTGGGGAGGAGGAGTGCAGGACACGGACACCGAAGATCAGTCAGGAGAGTTGAGATAAAGGTCACTGACTCCCAACACTCACCTGGTCCTCTRTGACTCCCTTGTACTTCTCCAGCATCTGCAACAGCTCCTCATGTTCAACGTCGTACTGAGCGATCTTCTGTCTGTAGAACTCCAGCAGCTCCCTGGAAGGACGGAGGTACGCCAGACGCTCCTGGATCGGAGGAAGTGGAGAGTCATGTTCCTCGCCTGGAGAATGAATGATGGTTCTGCAGAAAAAGAAAGAAAAACCATTAACAATAATAATCATTTAAAAATGAGGACTATTACACACACGTTTCAATTAATGATGAACCATTAACCCATATCTTTAGGAAAGTTTAGACAATAACTTAATCCTTACCTGCGTGGTGTTGTATGCTTTGTTGGTGATCCCATTCCAACCCAAAACACTAAGAGAAATGTTTAGGTTATTTTGATAACAAATACATCTTAAGATACTGTTTACAGATATTGTTAAAACATGCAACGTACTACATTATAGAAGAAACATATTTTAAACATTTTTATTTTGCCAATTTAACAGTTAAAATATTAATGGAAGTTATTTTAACATAATTTATGTTTTTACAGTTTGTACAGGAAAGGTGAGTGGCTCGACATGTAAACATTTCTGTCGCGGCAAGGTGAGCGGGAGATTTACAGCCTTTAGGTAATTTATGTGCAAAAACAAGTACTGCCATCTGATATAATTTGTGTGAGCAACATAAAACTTTAATTCAACATACCAGTTAATGTGTTTCCAAGTCTGAGGAGTTGAATCGCACAGAATAACGCTGTTGTTTCTTTTGAAATCACGGATGCTTCCGCCTTTTCTCTGAAAACTGAGCTGAGGAAGGTTTTATTGCCACCTAGCGGCTGGCGGTGTAACTGTATCATACAGTATTTTATTTTAATCATAACGGTACATGATAATAATAATTTATATTGCAAGTCGGATAAAATATACGATAACAAATGATTTTGGGATGAAATCGAGAATAATATTTTCTTTTTCTCCAAAAACAATTGCCGACGTTTTAGTAAAGTTTGCTGGCAAATAAGCATTGAACGCTTTCCCTTTCAAAATAAATGTAAAAATTCAAAAGGTTGCGTTGGAAGTTGTTTGCCTGAAATTATTACGTGGCAGAATATTTGATTATTTCAAATATTTAAATTGCGTGAACGTATAAAAAAAAGAAGTAGTGGAATTTGGTGATGAATAAATCGTGTTTTACTGTGAAAGCGGTAACACCGGAAGTGGCTTTCTTTTGCTAGCTTACCGCTCTCTGACCCRGGTCAAGTCTCGTTAAGCTGAACCGGTATCTAACGTCGAACAGTTTTCCAGCTGTCTGTCCGCGATGGAGCGAAARGTTGCTCGGGAATTTAGACACAAGGTAAGACGTTTGATATTATCCTCCTTCTTTGTGTTTTATTATTTGGGAAAGTTTCAGACAAAGCTGTTGGCTCAGGTGACTCACCTGCTGCTGTTAGGCACACAGACAGGCCTGGACGACAGACWAGAGCCAGGAAATAATAAAATCTGCTAAATTACACACAAATAATGTAGGAAAACAGCATCAATATTCGTCAACATTATCAGGTTTATCCCAAACTAAACTCACAGACTTAATAAGTCTCTTTTTGTTCTTCAAGTTTCTTCTATTTATTCCAACACAAATATCAAAACTAAACATGACAAGACTTATAACACTCAAATGTTTTATTGAAATAAACAGTTTTATAATTATAAGCTGAATTTAATTGCGTATTGTAGTATAGGGTGTGTTATAGCCAATTAGTTCATTAAGAGTTAATTGATTTTGTGTTTTCTAATGTACAGGGTTAATTTTTCACACACTTTCAACACTATTAGCTTAAAATTCACAACAAGGCTGTCATTCTAAGCACATTGACTTTTTCCTTTATAGCTTGAAAAATATGCTACTAATTCAGTTTGTTATATAAWTAATCCGCTCAATAATAAAATAGTGAATTTAATGTTTGTTATTCAAAAAAATATACAAGACAAGTCTGACTTTAAACTGACGTTTGGTTTGTTTCAACATATTCTAGTGCTCAAACAAGTTTTTTTTTTAAAGTAAAGATAATTCAGGAAGGGAACATGATACGTTCAGAGCATTTCCAGCCCCAGAGCATGCAGGGATCACCACACAACCATCTGTGCTGCCCACAAACAAGCAGGGACCCATATTGTCTTCACAAAGGGCACCATAATGTGTCAGATATGAGCAGCTGAGCAGAAAATGAGGGAAAATTTAGGGGTTTAATTAGAGGCTGGGGGAGGACTCTCAGGCTTTGTTTTATGTAGACATTATTATAGCTATTACACGTTTTTTTGTCATTTATTCTTCTGAGTTCCTTTAATTGAAGATTTGGTGAAACAGTTACAGAAAGAAACCAGTTTTTGCTTTCTTGATGTGTCATCTCGCTTCTCGCTTTTTTATGGTGCCAAAGTCTGTAGTTCATTCCCGAGGTGAAGCCTCACAGCACTGAACAGCAGTCATTTATGACCGCCATAAAGCCTGTTTTGCACACACCCACTGCTGCTGTTCATTTAGCCTGCTGCTTTTATGGCACCCTGCCCTGAAATAATACAGAATCATCAGAGGTYTGTGTTCTCCCGTTCTGACTTTATTGCTCGGAGACGATCTGATCTGAGAGAGGTGTTTGAAAGTTGGTGTCATGTCTGTGTCTGAGATGTAAGATGACACTACTGACCGTCCTCCCGCTGCCTCTCCTCATCTCTGTGTGCGTTATTCTTTCCCAGAAGTTTGATAGAGGAGGGCACAGACCCTGCCCAAGATTAATCTCAACTTTACGCTCGTCTTAAAAGAGTAAGCTCCCGAATTAAGCAAAAAATAGTGCGGGTTAACTGAGCGAAATGTGTATCAAAGACTGGCCGAAGCGCTTCCTCAAAACCATTCTGCTGCACTTGAGCCATCATCAGGTTTGTATGGCTCCGACATTCACACACACACACAGAGAGGGGATTTTTACCCCCCACCCCGTGGCGTTGACAGGACCACAGGACAGGAGCACAGAGTGTGTCAGGGAGCTGACAGAAGAAGGATGGCACCAAATGTTTCTGTTTTCTTGCAGGTGGAGTTGCTGATTGAAAATGAGGCAGAGAAGGATTACCTGTACGATGTCCTCCGCATGTATCACCAGTGAGTACTGAGTACCATCTGTCTCTCATCAGGTGGACGGTGTGCACCGTACGCTGGTGTTTCTTATTCTCACTTCAGTAATTCTTATAATTAAGCTGTTAATGATTTTTTAACAGATTTCATCTTTAAACAAGAACTATTTTATCGTAGTGAAGTCAGCGGGTTGATTTCTGCATGTAAAAGTTTCACAGTTTTACCTACAGTTTCACAAATCGTGGTTTTTAATTTGTTTTCGGAAGCAACCCCTGTCTCAGAAATCTTCTCAGGTGGGTGATTTCCTGCGTCACAAAAGCTAAACGTCTTCTAGGTTTCAGTTAATCTTTGTGCAGAAACAGAAACTTTAGCCTCTGATCCATTTCAGCAGTACTCAGGTAAGCTTGGCCAGTTATCAACAAAAGATCTTTTCATCTTCATCCTCCAAATGGGGCTAAAATGACTCGTATGAATAATTCAACAAGGACGCCGAGCACACAGTGGCTTTTATTTGGCTGCTTTTGTTGCTCTTCCTCTTGTCTTTTGTCTTCCTCTAAATTGCAGTGCAGAAAAGAATCGTTTGTTTTTTTCCATAACGGTATAATTGGTATCATTTTATACTTGATCTTTTGTTTGAATCAGAAATAGAGGAAGAAACCGTTTTTTTTTTTTTTTTTTTTTTTGTCTTGCAGAAATCAACTGGTTTACAAAGGCTTTTGTGGCTGAGGGTGGAGATGAATACATTTTGGTGCATTTTGCAAAGTAGAAAAAAAAGAACTAGTACCTGAATGTATCTTTAGAACAAAGTTGGACCCAGATGACAAAAACATTTTAAAAGCATCTGAGAACATCTTACAGTTACACTAAGCAGTAAAGTAAACAAAACTAAAACATGTRGATTAAAAGTAGGTGAGCTGAGGGCCACAGGATGTGACAGAGAAGAAGTCTGTGTGGAATTAGGAAAACATGATGCCTCCTGTTGTGGTACATAAAGCTATTATGGCTCAGTGCTGCATGACATTAGGAAAACCTGCTCTATTTTTACAGTGATACTTGTGCTGAACGTTGCAGCGATGATATCTTTTGCGACTGCGAGTAACCCACATGTTCTCTCATTAGTGTTCACAACACTCTCCATGTTCCTTCATGTTCATTTAGAGGAGTGGGGGTTATGTTTGATTGCCTGTTGCTCATCGTTTCCATCTAGTTTTTTTTTTGGAATTCTTTGGGATATTGATATWGTGCACTCAGATAATGATTTTTAAACTGTGAACACTTAAAACGTTTGTTTGGTTGATGTGCATTAAACCATGGATTCCCAAATGGAAACTGGTTGAATCCTTAATCTATAGTAGAAATTATATAAAAACATGAGTTATCTTGTAATTATTTAGAATTTAAAGGGGCAATATCATGTAAAATCAACTTTTTTGAGTTTTATATCATGTTATAATGTTATACTCTCATAAAAAACATGCCCAAAGCCTTGCTTTGACTCATTCATTCATGTTTGAGAAATCCTGCAGCGGTTTTAGGAAGCCATGCTGAGGAGCAAAACGACAGGTGGGCACCAGAAACGCCTTTTGGGACCAGAAACGCCCCTGGGACGTGTCTAAGCCGAGCTTCCTAATGGCAGAGTGCACCCCCCCCACCACCTACCCACACACCCCGCCCATTACTCCTGCAGGCTCTCGGGTGAAACTGAAAGTGAAACTTAAACTGTCTGCTGAGCTCTCAACATTAGTTCTCACTCAGTGAAGCTCTTTTCAGATTAAAAATACATTTGAGGAAATGTATTTTCAGATGCCAAGTAAACTGCATCATGGCAACCCCCACCCCAAGGAAATGGGCGAGACAGACAGAAACAAAGGTGGTCCTTAAAGAGACAGAGGCCAATTTCAAAGCGTTTAGAAGAGGAAGTGATGAGAAGATCAGTTTATTTTCTATTTAAACATAAAAACAGCATTTTAATAACAACTAAAGGTGACATAGATACTTTATTATGATATAGTATTTAAATATATGCCTGAGAAACACATAAYATTGCCCCTTTAAACAATTTGTATACATGTTCTGGGGTTCTTTTCACTGAGCTGTATAGGACTGAAGTAGAAGGCAGTGTGGAGGTCTGAAGCCTGTAACCATCTGTATCCCTCTGTCAGGTCGATGGACCTGCGTGTGCTGGTGGGAGACCTGAAGCTGGTCATCAACGAACCAAAGAGRCTGCCTCTCTTTGACGCTATCCGACCTCTCATCCCCCTCAAACACCAGGTGGAGTACGACCAGCTCACCCCCAAGAGGTCCCGGTGAGTACCGAGTCGTACGACACCGTCACAGGTTTCCGTTTGAAAGTTTTTCCGCAGCTCGCAAACTTCTCGATTGAATCTCGCTGGTGCAGGAAGCTGAAAGAGGTTCGTTTGGATCGAACACATCGTGATGGACTGGGCCTCAGTGTCCGAGGAGGATTAGAGTTTGGTTCTGGTCTCTACATATCACAGATTGTTAAAGACGGACAAGCGGATAATGTCGGCCTTCAGGTGTGTACATATTAGATTATTAGTTGTGTGTTTTTATGCTTCTACACCTCTTAATGCACAGTGCTAAATAAAAGCTGAGTAATATTTAGTAATAGAACATTTATTATGTTAACATTTTTCTTCTTTTTGTGCCATTGGTCAGTCAATCTTTTACCATTTTCTTTGTTTTTCTGTGGCCTGTAGCTTCTCTTAGTCATATCACCAGGATCCACTAGAAGGGGTCAATATCATGTTTCTGAAACTCCCAGAGAGTCATTATATGGTGCTGGTTATCTTTGGGTCTCTTCTTTATTGAAACAATGAAAAATTAAATTTAATTAATATAAATATGACAGAAAGCCACTTCATCTAATTATAAGAGATTTATCACATCTTTTAAGAGGGATTTTGTCTTGTATTTATTTATTTATTTATTTATTTATTTATATTCATTTATTTCATTTAATTAAAAAACAAAACAATTAATCAAAAAACAGAACAATTTTCAACACAACACAAAATCATTAAATGAAAGGGAGCAGAAAGGAGAAAAAAATCTTATAACATCTGCCCCATTTAACAAAAATATATATATATATACATATATATACATACACCCATACATACATTTACATACATAACAATTTTACACCCTAGTGGTCAGCAAAACAAAAAATTAAAAATATCTTACAGTAATGAAAAAGGTTGCAACTACTCAACCAGCAGCTTGTATAAATGCCTATTATGTATTTTCATATTTATTCAACAAATCACATTTTATCAATCTTCCAAATAAATTAATCGAACCAGCATTTTTATAATCGATAGCCAAGTTGTTCCATAACTTAATTCCTTGAACTGAGGTACATCTCTCTTTCARGTTAGTATGAATTTTGTATAATAACTTAAGAAAAACACACCATCAACTACATATTTTGTAGTAAACCTAGTACTGATATCACAGTTTGTTTTCAGTGAAGAGCTAAATTACGCTATAGTTGAAAGGATTATGTCACAGACTAAAGGATGTTCAAGGTTGAAGGCAAATTGGAGCTTATTCCAGCTGCTTTTTTTTTATTTAAAAAGAAATTTGAACATTTTTTCTATATTTCAGTGACTTATCAGAGAAAGAAACATGTTTTGAAGGCCAGTCTACAGCTCTGAGTCAGAGATGGATGATGAATTTCTACTCATCCTCTCAGAGCAATGCAGGCTGAGAATGTAAACTGTCAGTTCAGTTCAGTGATGAAGAGTGTTACCTTCTTCAGCATGAAATGAAAACAGACCACACACGTCAATATGTTTTGTTCAGCAAACCAGAATACAAATGTCAGATTAACAGCAACACARCCTCTGAGCTTGACAGACACTTTGAAATTGGAAATGTCATCTTTAATGTCCGTTTCTGTGTTGATTTACAGGTGGGGGATGAGATCGTGCGCATCAAYGGGTACTCCATCTCCTCCTGTATCCACGAGGAAGTAATCAGTCTCATCAAGACAAAGAAGACCGTGTCGCTCAAAGTTCGCCGTACGTCAGTCTTTTTATACAAACAACAAAAACAAACAAAAAAACTGAATTCTGCATCACTTATTTCTTTTGCATGCTCTTGTTTTATGTGCAGATGTGGGAATGATCCCAGTAAAAAGGTAAGACACGTTTAGTTAAAATTTTTCTGCACTTTTCTACTACTTCTGCAAACTTTGAGGTATTTTAGTCATTTTTTATAACAAAACATTCAGAATATTAAAGCAATTGGTGCTATGACTTTTGGTTTTTATAACTTTTATAC